TACATTTTTATTTATTTTGGGATACTATTGCAGTAATTATTATGCAACAATTAGGACTAATCACCTTGTACACAGGACCAAATCCACCTTCTCCCAACTTATTAGCACTTGAGAAGTTATCTGTTGCTGCTCTAATTGTAGAGAGATCAAACTGCAAGGATTCTGCAGTATCAATATCGTCCACATGTGTACCTTTATTAACATAGCAATTTAAAACAAATCAGCAAAGCATAGATTTAGAAATCAACTTTCCTTAATCATTGTCTACTAACAAGTCACTCTTACTCTGAATTTTGTCCATAAGCTTCCTCTTTCTCATCTTCATCAAGATGACAAAAGTACAAAGCATAAGAATTATCGTTGCAACAGTTGACACAACAATGATAATAACTATTCTAGCATATTTATCATCCTTTCCTGCAAAGTCGCTCCGACCTAGCATCAATCTAATTAGTGAGTAATAAATTCTAGTATTAAATATCAGCTAAAGTTGTATAAGGCCAATTAATCCTCTTCTTTACAGAAAAGTCAATATATAAAATTCACCTGGTGGTGGAGAATGAGATTCGACCGCCACCTGTTTGAAGAAGCGATAACTCTGATAACGGAAGTTGCACCTAGGCCCTATTTGTCTACTGCCTCTATTGCCATTACAGGGACAAGTAGCCATAGCTCCATAAGCATTCGTTAAGCAATCAGAACAATCCTGAGGAGACAAATCAGGAGTACATTGCACAAGTGCATATATAGTCTGATCATTTGGATCCGTGGCACTACCAGTGGCATATTTACGAAGGGGATCGCCATTTGCAGCTTCGCCTCGTAAACTATCCACTAATTTCTTGAGCTCCCTGTTAAACTCTTCGGGTTTTGAGGCATTTCCAAAATCCCACATGTAGAGCAGAGGATCATTCGACGAGGTGCCAATGATTGATCGAGATGCGTACTGTAACATACAGTCATCATAGCCACCAAAAGCTTCTTTCTGTTCTGGACATGACCGTACAAGCTTTTGAGCAGTGTTATTGACACAATTGCGACATTCTTGCAGCTCCACATCTCCTCTACAGAGCACAATAGCACTGACTATGTCGGTGTTTCGGCCAACGGAAGCATTGTAGAAACCATATTCATCCATATTTGAAGAAAGGGAGGAAAGGAGTGTGTTAAGATTGCTCTGGTATACACTATTTTGAGTGTAGTTACCATTGAGACCACAATCGGAGAATAGTAAATCAGGCTGAGCTATGATGAGATGGTGAAAATAAATATGAAAAACAAGAAAGATTTGCAATTTCTGATGAATAGCCATGGAGGGTAAGCTTCATCAGTAGAACTAAGATATTTTAAATAAGGTTAGATAGAATGTTTGGCTGCAATTGATCTGTGCTTATAGGGGGGTGCCAAAAGAATTTGTACTGAAATATGTATGTAAAAAATGGATCATAATCCAATCCATTTAATTCTTACTAAGTTTTTATTTATTTATTTTTTAGGTATATAAATAATTTTTTTCATTTACCTTGGTTGTTATAAAAAATATCTTATTAAAATATATTAACAAAACTCTTCATGGGTTAAATTGAGCTATGTATTGGATGAATTAAAATGAAATAGACTAAAAATGATTTGACGTAATAAATAGGAAGTCAGTCAACTATTAACTTGGGTATCCGACGTTGACAAGTTGACTTTTAGACAGCACACCGAAATGGTGGGAAATTTCCACTTATTTACACGTTCTTTTTTTAATCTTTTCTTTCCTTTATACAATTTTATATTCCTAATTATTTGGTCACCTTTTTTTTTTTTTGTTCTTGATTACTTGTCCATTTTGACAAATCAAAAAATGATAACTTTTTTTTTTACCTATTATACCCTCAATTAATTACTTCTTGAAAATCTTAAGTTTTTAATGCATCAATTTAATAATTAATAGGGGTAAAATGATAAATTCACTATGTCAATAATTATTTTTTTAATAGGTGTGTCAATTCGAAATTGAACAAGTAATTAGGAATAGAGGCAGTATATACTCTAGGATGATTTCTCTTGAATTTTAACTCTAGAATTAGCTATCTCAGACCATCTCCAACCCAACACCAAATCCTATATTTGGTGTAAAATTTGGTGTTTTGAGCTCCAACCCACACCCTTTTTTACACCAAATTTGGTGTGTGAATAGTGTTACACCAAATTTGGTGTAACACTATTCATCACATCAATTCACTTTTTAAATATTTTAATATTTTTTTATTATACAAACTTTTAATTAAACATTATATAAATTGTATATTTTAATTAAATCTCTTGTATATTTAATTATTTTTTATGTAATATTTTTATAATATTAGTTTTAGATATAAAATTTAGCTTTTTTATAAATTAATTTTTCTATATATGACTTTTTCTAAAAATTAAATTTATGTTAATTCTACTATAAATTATAATTGGATATAACTACAATTAACCTTCACAAAAATTAAAAATGTAAACATATAATTTTTTAAACAAATAATACAATGTACTTAAAAATAACCAAAAATAATAAACATTCAACAAAGAAGCTCATTTTGAACTACTTAATGCATTAATAGAACATTTATGGGAGCACCATAGTGATCTTGAAAGTTGAATATTTGTGTAGAATTTAAAATAATTTTTTCAATTATGTAATGCTTATTTAATTGTATTTCATTAATGATTTCACTTTTATTTGTATTATCCATTATTATGTATAATGTATAATATTTGCTAGAAATTTATATTATTTAAAAAATTATGGTACAAAATAATTTTATATTAAACGATTATAAAAGGAAATAATATGAATTATACATGGTGAATGATTTAGAAAGAATTTATGAAATAAGAAATAATATAATAATAATAAAGAGAGAAAAAAATATTCCTTTTTGGTGTAAAATTTGGTGCAGTGAGTTGGAGTTGATTACACAAAAAATAGTGCTGACATCAAATTTGGTGTTTGGGTTGAAGAGCCCTCAGTGCAAAATCTACACGTCTTGTACTTGATACACGAATATGTAAAAAATATACATATAAAATCATATTATCATTATTTATTTAATAACCGCAAAGTCTTGAAGTGAAAAGTTAAAACGACTGAAATATCCATTAGATATTGAGTTCATTTAACCCTTCAAGCACTCATTATTTTAAGAACTTTAGCTCTTTAAATGAACACAATTAATGGCCAGCTTTTAGTAATTCAATCTATTAGTAAGATAAATACCTTTCATTTTTTTTAATAGTGCATGTATTAAGGCTCAAGAGTGAAATACCTAATTATGAAGAACTAAAGAGTCGCATGTTACCTTTAGCCATGCATTACTTGTTCAAAATTAGTGCACAAGTACATAAAATATACTTTTATATGAAAAATATAATTATTAATCATGCCTGGTAAAACTAAATAACATCATATTATATTAAAAATAAAGAATATCCAGGAAAAAAGTATAGAACATTCATACGTGTCTTCTCTGTTATATAACCGTGATTGAGAGAAGTAGTAAAATCACATCTAAATTTGGCATGAATTATTACTTTCATTTTGAACGGTGCCTAGTAAAGTACCGGTCGACTTGACTATATGAACTTAAAATGGCCCCTATCTGTTGCAACGGTGGCACATCAGCATTTGATTTGGTCAGTTTTCTTTGGAATTGACAAATTGACTTAGAATTTATGGAGTTCTAACAACTCTTATGTATGTCTACAGGACTAAGGAGTGGATGAGAACAAGCCAACACGGTTAGAAATTTCGGGCCTACTTGTTCTTCTTTGAATATGATTTCAGAAAAGAAATTCAACTGATCCTTACTTGTATTATATTTTCGTTTTCTCCTTATGTTTTTGTAGAAGATAGTGGAAGCGGCCAGAACCCTGTAATTAATTAAATTAAAGTGTAACTAGTTAGTTACATAACTGCAATTATATTAGTCTAATAAGGGAGTAATACATATGAAACAAGTTGGATCACAAAAATTATTAATAAATCAATCTCATCAATTCTAGACTAAGTACTGGAGTTGGAAAAAATAACAAAAGTAATTCAGGAAATAAAGTTAACGAGGGTATAACTCAGTTATGGATGCCTCATTACGTGATGAAGAAATAGATTTACTTTTGGCTAATTCTCTAGGTTCTGACGATCTTGAATTGTACTCTTCAATAAGTGAAATCTCTGGGCTAATATCGTTGTGCGTGTAGTATGAAGGCACGGGTAGACTCAGAGAGAGGCTACTGAGAGCATGAGAACTACTGCAGTCATAGTTGGTCTATCACCAATATTTTCTTGAACGCACAATAAAGCAATGTGGATGTATCTCATTATGTCACGAACCAGTCCTGAACTTCCACTAAACATGGGGTCAATCAAATTTGCAGCTGTTCCTTCTTGCCAGTTCGTCAATGCCTGCAATATTATAATTCAGAGTTTAAACTCTATACATCGACAATGTAAAACAATTTGATGCATAAGGATGGTGCCCACTATTGAAATGTAGTTCATCAATTAACTTAGCTACTTACATAGCTTAGAAGGTCTTCCACGGATTCTCCATTTCTGAAACAAGTGTTCTTTTGTCCACTTAAAATTTCTAGGATTAGTACTCCAAAGCTAAAAACATCTGATTTCACTGAGAATTGCCCGTGCATTGCATACTCTGGTGCCATATATCCACTGGAAATTAAAGACTACATAAATTACAAAACTTTTCTAGTATTCGGTACCTTAATTGTGGGGACGACTAAAATTCTAGTTCAACAAAATTGAGGTGCGAAAACAAAAAATGAGATAAAGTTCCTGAAGCAACTACATTACAAATCAAAATTCATCTTACATATTCTAGTAATTCTAAGGAATGGTTTGTTTACGAGTAGTATTGAGGTTTTTGTTCTTGCTTGCTAAATGGTTAAAGAATCTCTCCGAGCAATATGAAATTAAACAGTCTATCTAATGAGAGTTATACAACTTACTAGGTCCCAACAATTCTGGTTGTGCTGCCTTGAGTTTCATCCAGGGTAAATAACCTTGCCATGCCAAAGTCTGAGATTTTAGGATTCATTTCTGCATCAAGTAGAACATTACTAGCTTTGAGATCACGATGAATGATCCGAAGCCTAGAATCCTCATGAAGATAAAGGATCCCCGAGCAACGCCTCCAACGATTTTGGATCTCCTTTCCCAATCAAATTGCCTACGTTTAACTGTATCTGTGTTCCCATTGGACAAATGTTAAATGTAGAGCACTTATAAAAGATTTAACTTCTATATACGGACAGTGTAGAAGAATTACACTCTCAAGTTAACTAAATGTTAAACAATACATACCAAATAAAAATTGGTCAAGGCTTGCATTGGGAACAAATTCATAGACAAGAAGTCTCTCTGTTCCATCAAAGCAAAATCCTCGCAATCTAACCAAATTTCTATGTTGAAGCCTGGCAACCAACAAGACCTCGTTTTTGAATTCTAGATCACCTTGGTCTGAATCTATTGACAATCTTTTCACTGCCACTTCTTGTCCATTTGAAAGCTTGCCCTGAAACATAATATGAGACCAAGTTGAAAAATATGAATTAAAACAATGAAATTATAACATAGTATTCTTGCTCCAACTAGGTTGTTATGCAACACGGTCCTCATCTATATACACAGACAATGTGAAGAATACTCAAAACTTAGTAATGACTAATGATTAATCACCTTGTACACAGTACCAAATCCGCCTTGTCCCAACTTATTAGCATTTGAGAAGTTATCTGTTGCTGCACTAATTGCTGAGAAATCATATTGCAAAGATTCTGCAATACTAGTATCATCCACAGATATACCTTCAATAACTAGTAGTAATAGGAAAGAACAAATTAGTTAAACATGGTCTTAATTAAAATTCAATTGCAGGTCAATAAACTAGGCTTACCCTCTCTTTTGTTCACCAACTTCCTCTTTAGCCTCCTCATCAACATGACAGAAATACAAACAGTTCGTGCGGTTTTGTCAACCTTTCCTACAAAAAATGCTTCAAATTAGTATCACAAGCACCGCCGAGTATAGAATTAAAATTCACAGCCCACGATTCAGCTATTCGTGTCAATTACTCTATAATCTGGATCTAACTTTGCAATTGACACCACCAAGCACGCCTAACAAAAGAGGCTCGACTTGGACAACATGTCCCTTGAAGGTGAATACGACTATGAACACCTTGATTGGATGGTTGTTACCATTGTATTGTATTATTAGTTTAAATGAAATATTTGTTTTGATTGTTACTTAAATTCTATTATATAGTATTGTTTAAATCCATCCTTAGGTAATGACATTAATTTATGTAATGACCGATTTAGTGTGATCACATTGTTTACTTAATATTTTCTTCTCATTTTGTCTTTATTTATTACTAGTTCCTGGGAACGTGCGTTGCACGTTTGTCCCATACAATTTTTATAAAGTTGAATTGTTATATAGAAAATGTTGAAACTACAAATATTAGTTTTACCAATTTATATTTTATTCATTAAATAAAATTCCTAATAATCAAATAGTACATTGCGCATCAAGCAATAAATATGGAAAACTAATTAAGATACTATAGCCTCTAATAATATGAATATATCTATATGACTTATCATCAATAATCTCTCATTACGCTCTCTGCTCTCATATCAGTAAGTACACAAATATGTTGCTAGTTAAAGAAACCATATCAGTAAGGAAAGGAAAAGAAAGAAAATATTATAAAAGTACATTTAAAAACGAATATAAAAGTCATAAATTAGTAATTTCAGCACTAATAAAGATAGGCTTATAACATTCATAATTTCATAGAAGATTAAATTAAAGAAGTATAAATCGGTAAAGAATACAAAAAAATTAAACAGATAAGAACAAATACAACATTCATTTCCTTCTTAAGACTTTAATTATAACAATATATATAGTAAAAAAAATACATAAGGAGTAGAGTTCTTGATGATACCTTCTCCCGTAACCAAATAAAATTCAAAAGCCTTAATAATGATCCAAGTGCTTCACTACTTTAACTGCAGAGAAAATGGATAACCTTTGGTAGGGATTCTTCTCATGAAATAAAAAGAATGATTTATATAGATAAAAGTAGAGGAATATCAAAGACACCCTAAAGTTTTAAATTAAATATTTGAAAGTTACGAATATGTAAAACGTGAGAGTTATGAATATTAAGAGTACCAATTGAATAGGTAATTATATTAGATATGAATTATGAAGGTGAATATTTAAAGCAAAAGAAGAAGAAGAAAAATAATAAATAAGTAAATAAAAGAGAGAAAAACATTACGGTAAATGATATTTAAATAAATAGTGTTATCATATTATTTATAGTGAACAAAAAATAACCACATCATAATAATAAGACTTCAAATATAATTCTTTGATTTTTCCTATACATGAAAGTATTAATTACTTTTATGAACTGCATAAAATACAAAATGCACATAAATTTTCATAAAGTCAAATACTACTACATTAATTAAATTATTTAAATTATTTTAGAGAAGGGGAAAAGGTTTAGTTAGAGTATCAGATACAAGTTTTCACGTACTAAATAAATGCACATACTTTTATGGATATTTTAATCTTTTTATTTTTTTTATTTTACACATTTTCACTTGTAGTATTTATCATCATAATACTAATATAGTAATATGATTATTATTTAATATTTAATTAGTTAAATATTTTATAATATTTTGAATTAATATAGGGGTAATTAAATGATGATTCAACTTTAGACTTATTATATATATATAATGAATGGTACATAGCATATAAATTTAAAATAATTGAAAATCCAAAAAAGCAAGAAAAAGTTAAATGATTATCTTGACCACATAGATATGCCCGTCACTTGGACTTCCTGAATACTATTAGTATACAGTTTATATTTATTACCAAATATTTTACAAATCTAAAATACTAAAAAGAAATTCTGAAGGTTGAATAATTGTGGAATATGAAAGCAATTCCACCACATTGAATTGAATGAACTAATGAATGAGAATGTATCTGTTTTCTTGTTTCATTTTAATGAAATATATTATTAATAGATAGGTAAATTTACTTTTTAATACCAATAATTAAAGGATTAGTGTTTAATTAAATACATAAATGACTATTCAACCTATAAAGGATAATTTGATAATTCAACTTTTAACTTTTTTTTGTTCCCACTTTTAGTGTGTATATATATATATATATATATCCATACGGTTAATGTGACAATAACCTGAAAAGAAATTTAGCTTATCAATTAAAAATTAAAATTAAAATGACATAGAAAAAGAGAAGTAAACACAAAAATGAGGAAAATATAATAAAATAAGAGTATAATAATTGTTTCACAAAAATCCAGATATTTATAAACAGTTGAAAAAAAAGCCATCTAAAATGGTAAAGATAAAACTAAGATACAAAATAACATTCTAATTAGGATCAAAACAAATATGATTATTTCAAAACAAAAAAAAAAGTACCTGAAAATTGCCTAATGATTCACATCAACAGGAGGCAATTGGTAAAGAAAAATTACTTTTCCATGATATATATATAGCTAAAGATTTATAGGATAAGATGAAAAGGTGAAGAGTTGTTTAAGTTAATTTTCAGAAGTTAGTGACTTAGACATGGGGGAGAGGAAAGGTTGATTGTTTTTACTGATAATTCAATACATTTAATTACACTAATTATAGATAAAGGATAACAAATTTAATTCATTTAACCACACTAATTATAGAAAAAGAATAAAGAATAAAGGATAAATGCTTTAATTATCTATTTCTTTTTTATAAAAATGCTTTATCAAATTAACAAATTTAATCAATTTAAACATAACCTTTCTTAAAAGAATTAGATAAAAGCGTTTTTATATATATATAAAAAAAAGTAATTCCTAACAACTTTCTATGAAATAATTTCTAACAATTTTCTATGAAATATTTTTTTCTTTCAAAGTTTGACTTTACACGTTCTTATTTTTAGTATTTAGTATGATATAATATAATTATTACTTAGTATTTAAATAATTAGATATTTTAATTTAGTGTGAGGGTAATATGGTAATTCAACTTTACATATTGGAACTTCCCACTTATAATAATATATATTAGTTTTGAGCACATGCATTGCATGTGTATTCGATGCTAATAGTTTAAACTTCTTAAAACATTAGAAATAACACCAAAACTGAAAGTGAAGGATACATGCTCAATTGATGAATAATTCAATCGATATTCACTATCATCACAAAGTACATCACACCAAAAGTTAATATCAAATGAAGTTGAAATAATCCCCTTAATTTTAAGAAAAAAAGAAAGTTCCTTCAGCATTGTATTCTATTACTTTGATAACTACTACTATAGTTAGCAGTTGTATACAGTCAACAAATTGTATAACGTTTTCTTGTATAGTACTTTTACTCTATCAAATATTCGATCTAAATGATATTTCAACAACAAATAGTCAGGATATGAGCAACACCGCTAATGGTTACAAATACTTCAGCCCCATCAAGTAGTTATTGTCAGATGAAAGTAGTGTTTGTTGAAGTTGTATCAACTTAAGAGAATTAATTTAATATATATATATCATAAGTGCATGTATAAGTACCCTTTATTTGATTTACTTATATGAGTCATTTAAACTGGAAATTTGGTAGAAAATATTAGTTGAATAATTTGTATATTGTATTATAAAATATAATATGACAATAAGTCAACATCAATATATTTTGTGTGAGCATAAAACACCATATAAAAAATAAATTCATATTTCAAATCAAGCCTTCTCAAATTCAAGTGCACCTAGACATCACCATCTCGACTTCTTCATCCCCATGCAGTACATCTACTATTTTTGGATCCATGTTTTTTTTTAAAACCTATAGAACGTTACTGATTTGTTGAGTTAATTCCTGCAAAAGAAAATAGAAATTAGTGAAAATTGTGCCTTACGCAGTGTAATATAATATAGGAAATAAACCATCTCCGTGCCATCTTTTGCCAACGTCTTCTGTTCTATAGTTCAAAGTACACTTCCTGTGCCTTGATCACTCAACCTTAAATTGCCAAATTTAAGAGCATATATATAATTTGATATGGTTGAAATAATACAACAAATGTGGGGTGATTGAAGAGATTTAAGGTGTTATAAATACTTGTAGAATTTAGTATAGCCATTTAAAGTGTAAGTTGAAATTGATTGACAATGAACCTATTTGAATGACTTGATTATTGCATTTATGGAAAATGATTGTCCAAACCTGTAAATTTGAGCATCTAAATATAGCTAGTAGGTAGACTGTATAATAAATTATAACTTAAAGCTAGTAGATGCAACTTATAGTAATTCAAAGGGTCATAGCCACTGAATTTTAACATTTTCGTCGAGTAAGAAAAAAAAAACAACAATAAAAAGTTTTGAAATATGTTCATCCAAATCAATAAATTAAAGTAGTGACATAAATATTTTTCATACAATCTCTAGATAAATGAAGTATATCCTTACCTATATATATGCTGCAAATGTTGCTGGCTGACCAAGTAAACCAAATCAAAAGAGCAATGATTGCTTCATGGAAAAAAAATATAGTGCATAACTTACAAAAAATATGAAAAAGGCTAAAGTCAAGTGAGAATCATCTATGAATATAACATTAATAGTAATGTCAAGAACTTAGGCCTTTTTATATAAATTCAATAAAGAGAATATTTTTCCACCATTAATCCAGGAAATTTGAAAAGACCAAAAATGAATGATATTATCATATGAATGAATTAATGAATAAATTAATATCAATCCTTCCTCTTCTTTTAGTTTTAAACCGGTAGTAATTACAATGACAACATTGTCTTTTCATATGATGATAATATCATTAGTATTAATTAGTATACTACGGTCAGTTTATTATTTAATAATTTAATATTTA